AATTAAGATTCTTTAAGAAGAGTAACGAATTAGATGATGTTAATAAAGAGAAAATGCAAATGAATGCTATCTCTATTAATGTTTTATATTTTTCTTTGGATGCTACTAAATTTGATAAAATAGCCACATATTCGAATGCGAAAGAAATTTGGAATGAATTAGAAGTTGCACATGGTGGCATGATTCTAAGCCAAAGCTCTCCATCGAAAAGTGAAGCAAGTGACATGAAAACACATTTTTACCGTATGGCCAACAACAATGAAGATGAAGTAAGCTCCAACTTTATTTCCATTTTTGATGATTCAATGTCTTAATGATGAGTTGCTTAAGGCTTCTAATGAATATTTATTTGAAAATGTGAAAAAGTTAGTAGTGCTAGGAATGCAACTTTGAAGAAATTAGTGAAGTCTCTTAAAGATGAAAAAGTTGAGTTGGAAAATTCATTAAAGGATGAAATGCAAGTTAGATCAGACCTTAAGCTTAGAATTGCCTTTAGAGATGAAAAACAAAAAAAAAATTAAACAACAATGGGATATTGAAAATGAATTAAAAAAAAAATTAGCGATTTTGAAAGATCTTTGTCTCATTTTGTGAAAGGTAATAATAAGTTGAACACCTATTTAAGTTCACAAAGAGTTGCTCATGTTAAACCTAGAATAGATTTGATTCTTCCAAGGCATCCTCATTTAATTGCACTATGTTTGTGAAAAACAACACCATGCATTCTCATGAGATTGAAGAAACATTTAGCCTTGAAAATAATTATATGCATAATTATTTTAATCATAAAGCTACTTGTCATTATTGCTTGAAGATAGGGCATTATATATTCATCGACGCTACATTAGAAAGAATTTTTTCAAGATGAATTTGACGTGGGTTCTTGAGGGAACACTTGAAATTTCAACTAACTCTCAAGGACCCAAAACAAAATGGTGCCAAAAACAAATGGATGAGTTCATTTTGTAGGCGTGCTGCAACAAAGAACATTTGGAGAAGTGGAAAACAAAGGTTGACATATGACTCCAAGGACTAAATTTGAAAACAAGCTTGGTTGTAAGTTAAATTTTATTTATTCATTTGTGAATTGCTTACTTGTGTTGATACTAGATAATTGATTTATGATTTTTTTATTGAGTTTTTGAGGTGTTAATTAGCCTTAGAAGGCATAGGATGTGGTTTGTGTTGATTAAAGTTGAAATCAATTCTTATACAAGAATTTGATTTAAACCTATAAAATTGGCTTTGAAGCAAACTTGTAAAATTTTTGGGCTCTCTATGCAAAAGCTTCGAATCTGTGGCAACATATTTGAATCAAACTCAAAATATTATAACTGAAAGTTTGGAATTTAATTAAAAAAAATCTTTAATGACAGTAATAAGACTACATCAATTTATAGTTTTGGTGAATGTAACTTTGGTCTTTGGAATCAGTTGATTATGGTGACATGAGGTGTTACATTAATACTACAGTACTTCTCATGTTTTTAAACCTTGGAGGTCCATTCAAGTGATATCCCAAAACAAGTGAAATTTGTCCCCTCCTGAATCCCTTGCTGCTTTTTTCTTCTTTTTTTCCTTTTTCATTCTTTGATGTTATGAAAAAGGATGGAAGGGTAACATTCAGAAATCCTAGTACTTTTGCTAAAATCATAATTCATAGGGACAATAGCCCCTCGCTTTTCTCCATATTTTTTTCTCATCTAGAATTTATTTATTTTTGGAGTGGGCCGGTAACCAAACCAATATTGAATATTCGGCCCAGTACTACTCTTGAGGTCTCCAGTAGACATTTTAGGCTCAAAACTGTTAGGTTCTTTTTTATTGGGTGGGAATGGATCCAAAGTGGACAGTGCTCTGAAGTCACAAAAAAAAAACAACAGTACAGCCCAAGCCCAATCTGCAGTCTTTCTTCCTCTTGTGTCCCTGTTTCCTTCCTCTATCACGCGCCTCCTCGTCTAGTCCAGGCCAAGGTTGAACCCACAATTTCTCTGAGCAAAGAGAAACTGCAATTCTGTTTTTGCAACCCCTGCGAACACCCATGACATTCTTCTGGAAGCTTGGCTTCAATTATTCAAACGACAAGCCCTCTGCCGTCCGGAGGTGGAGCTTTCATCCTGTATTCAATTCCCGGAGGGAAGTAAAGTACCGCTATACATTTGGCTGCCTTCCTAAATGGGCCCGTGATTTACACTGTTTTTAATTAACTTTTAAGCTTGGAGACGTTGATGCGCGGAGCAGTTGTTGCAGTCATATACTCGGTAGGAATTTGATGCGCGGTAGGAATGTATACAAGAAAATGATAACTTGCTAAGGTTATAAATGAGTACACTTTCTTTCTGTTTAGGGGTTTGCTACATCCGTCAGCAATTTTGTGCATACATGGGGAGTACACATAAAGGGGCCTGTCTACGTTGCAGTTTTCAAGCCATTTTCAATTGCAGTCGCAGCTTTCATGAGCACCATTTTTCTTGGTGAACCATTGTATCTTGGAAGGTTCTAAAATTTCTTTTACCCTTGTATGCTTCCAAATCTTCATGATCAATAATTGGTTAATTTTGTTTGATGTTGATGTTGCAGTGTGATTCGAGCAACAATGCTGTTTATTGGGTTTTATGCTGTGATGTGGGGAAAAGCAAAGGAAGAAGCAGTGATGGACAACTCTAACTTAGTAACCTCATCAGAAGATCAGTTACCTTTGTTACAAAGCTATGAGGTTGAAGATAGCAGAAAAATCAATGCAAGAAAATAGCAAGAACCTGATACTAATAGAGAGTTTAAGTGTGTTCTAAATTTTGTATATGTTCTAAAGTTAAAACAGTCAATCAAGCTATGAAAAAACAGTAGGAAAAAAAAAGAAAAAGAAAACATAAGGCTTGCTTCTGTCATCAGCAACCTCTCACCGGTTTTTACCTTCATACTTACAATCATTTTCGGGCTTGCCTGCAGTTCATAATAGCTCTACCCAGGAAAGCGCTGGCGACAACAGAAAGGAAGAGGTCTATGAAGCCGCTGTGCCTCCTCTTTTAGTTTTGCCATCTAATTTTACAGGAGTGTAAACTTATAATATTATATTATCCTTTATAATTATTATTTTTGTTTGTAATTCTTTAATACGTATAGGTTTCCCTTAATTATTATCATTAATCCCCTAAATCACATGTTTTATTCCGACAAAAGGAATCAGTTGATTATGGTGAGATAATATATTAAATTAATTGTTTTGCACAGTATTTTTCATGTTTAATTCAACCTTGTAGGTCCATTACTCCATTCAGTGGACATAACAAACCAAGCGAAATTTGTCTCCTCCTGAATCCCCTGCTGCTTTTTCTTCCTTTTGACCCTTTTCATTCTTTGATGGTATGAAAAAGGATTGAAAGACTAACTTCGAAGTCCTAGTACTTTGGCAGAAGGGACAGTAGCCCTACGCTTTTCTCCTTTTTTTAACCTCTATAAAATTTATTCGGAGTTTTCTACCTTGCATTTTCTCCACTATAAAATTTATTTGGGTTTTTTACTTTTTTAACTTTTGCTTTGAGTGCATTTATTACATATTTAGATTATTAATTTATATAAAAAATTACGAAAGTAAATTTTATTTTCATTTCTAATATCACATAAAATAATTTAATTATACAATTGATAAAATTAAAATTAATTTTTATTTTTTAATATAAATTCATAATAAAAATATATAATAAATATACTTTTAAAACATAAGTCGAAACCTTTTGTTTATTTTTGGAGTGGGCTGGTAACCAAATCAATATTGACTATTCATCATTTCGGCCCAGTACTTTATCTCCGGTCGACATCTTAGGCCCAAAACTATTAGGTTCTTTTGTTTTTTAGGTGGCAAGTGGCAACGAATGCAAAGTGGACAATGCTCTGAAGACGTTCTGAACGTCACAAAGAAAAAAAAAGAAAGTACAGCCCAAGCCCAATCGGCAGTCTTTCTTCCTCGGTTACATATCCTTATTTGGTCCCTCAACTTTCATTTGTGAACCAAATCTACCCTTAAACTTCAAAAAGTATCAAAATTATCCTTGAACTTTAATTTTCAGTACCAAATTTGTCCTTCCATTAGTTAAGTAATGACGTGGCCAAGTTTTTCATTAACTAATTCAGTTTCTTTTAATATTGAATATTAGGTGGAAAGAAAGTAGGTGATATGGCATATTTTGTAATTTATATAGTGATTATTAAAAATGACATGAACTTTATTAAGTTAAATTGGAATTTAAATAATCATTAAATAATTTTGATTTGGTTAGACACCTGATTGCCCTCCCCATCCCTTCTTCTTCATCCTTCCTCCCTTACCCAACCTTTCCTCACCAACTCACCTAATCACTTCAACAATGTGCGAGCTTGGATCTCCGGTGAGGCTTGTGGACTAGAGTTCAACCTTAGTTGATCTAACCTTTTCTCACTTTCTCTTTGATGGATCTCTAGCCCCCTTCTCTTCCTTCGTTCCCTCATCTCTTTTCCTATTTATCTCTCATTTTCCCAAACATTAGACACGTGTGAGGTGACTATCCAACCAAAGGTGAGTTTTCATCTTATTTCCCTCTCTT